GATGAAAGAAGGATATGGACAGCAGAATGGAATGAAATTGTCTTTACTGACGAGTCACGCTTCTGTCTGCAACATCACGATGGTCGGATTAGAGAGGATGATGAACAGCTGCATTATGCACCCCCACAACTGGTCCTGTACCGGGTATTATGATATGGGGCGGTACTGGATATCACTCTCACACTCCTCTAATACGCATAGCCGGTACTAACAGCCAGTGCTACATCTCTGAGGTGTTGGAGCCAGTTGTCCTTTCTTACCTTCAGGGCTTGCCCACAGCCATATTTCAAAAGGATGATGTGCGACCACATGTGGCATACATTGTTCAAGGGTTCTTTATCAATTGCCAGATTGAATTGCTTCCCTGGCCAGCTCACTCTCCGGATCTTTCGCTGATAGAAAACAAGCGGTCCATGGTTGCTGAACGATTGACCCAGATTACATCCCAAGCTGCTACACCAGATCAATTTTGGCAATGTGTGAAAGCTGCTTGGTCTGCTGTACCTCAAGGAACACATCCGAAAGTCTCTTTGAATCAATGCCAAGGCGTGTGGGAATGGTGATCTCCAACAATGGCAGCTACTCTGGCTGCTGATTTTGGAAAGAATCACACTTCACAGAAGTCTATAAATTTAATCATTTGATACTTGGTCAACATGTTATCTACTAAATAAATTGTGTTGTGATATCTTTTGTCTTTCTTGGTGTTGCAATTTGTGTGGCCATCAGTATATATTGCCCATTTTGCCTCTGGAATGAATAGCAAACCTGAGATAGCCCTGAAATGCCCTTCAATTAGAAAGGGTAAGTTATCTAAATCAATTGGCCTATGCCTATGGTTATGCAAAACCTTGTTTCCTACACAATGTTATGGTTTTTTATTATGGGTTTCAGTAATCGACTCTCTTTAGCCTTTTTGATTTTACTTGGTACTTACAGCAATCCAACAGCGAATTAGCACCAGTTGTGGATGACCATTTGTTTTAGAATTGGCAACAATCAGCAATCATTACCATTTGTTTCCAGTAATGATTGCCGATTGTTGCCAAAATCTTTGCCCAAGGTCAGTGGGATAACATGTAAATACCTTTTGTTTTGATCCAATAAAACATCCTCAGATATTTGTTTGTTGCTGTGTATTTACCTTTAGTTTGTGTAATGCAAAAATGAATTTTTGTAATTATGATTAGTGTAATAATTATGAAGGCATTATGATTACCAAAATATTGTTACGTGTGTTTCCTTTTCTTAAATCCTTTTTGCACCAAATAGCCCATAGGTTATGATAACGTGTGTCTAACATAATACATAGCAAAAAATATACACTATGTCCAAGCATGGGGCCTGAAAATCTAAACTTAAGAAATAAACATCCAAAATGGGTGCTTAAAATGAAATGTGATGACAACACATACATACAAAGATAAGTAAACTTTAATGTTTCCCGATTTGTAGTTAAGCAAATTTGGATCTAAAGGAAAAGTTAAGAATTCTGATCATCCTGACCTAATATCATTTTCGTTGATCATCTGAAACACTTAAATGTTCAGATGAATTTGAATTCTTTTACATGAAGTGTGATCGGCTTGATCATATGATATATGTTCTGCTGCATACCAGTTTTTTTAGTACTGTACGAGAAATTTTGAAATGTTATTGAAGATTGTACTTATATCTTTCATATATAGTAAATGAAAGTTTGTTATTGTAACTCTGTTAAACAAATATTGCTGTGATTGAAATGTGGAGTTTTGTGGTAGCACATACTAATCTGGAAATTTATATATAATTGTAAGAATATGTAAAATATTAAATTAGCAGCGTAAAATAATTTTGCTTCTCTATTCTAAAAATAGTGCAAATAGAAGTTCAGCGTAAATTAATTTTCCTTCTCTATTCTAAAAATAGAGTACAAATAGATCTAAAATCTAGTAACCTCTATTTGTACTGTGTCATTTCGAGAAAAATCTATGTCACATGACTCTCACATAATTCTGAAGATGTAAATGGAACTAAAAGTCAAGCAACCAATAATAATTTTACAGAAATATTAACTATCCAATCAAAAAATGTTTTGAGAACCAAAACTCAGTCTGAATTAAGATTTCACCTTGAACACTGTAATAAAAACAAATTTAATAATAAAGTGAAGTTAATAATTAATTAATAAAGTGAAGATCAGCAGGAATTCTGATGGCGTAGAAGTGTTGATCCATAATAAATAGGAAATTAGAGGTGAAGGCATATTAAATCTTCATATTTTAATTCAGCAACATGTTGCAGCCACAAACAAGTTGGCACATTAAATGTGCCTATATGGAAAAGTTTTACATTTTAGATAAATTTGCAGTAAGAAATAAGGAGCAGACAGATTAGCAGTACGGCCAAGCCCAAGCGTAGAAAGCAAGTGCATTATGTTTAGGGTGAAATCTTAATTCAGACTTAGTTTTAGTTCACAAAGCATTTTGATTGGATAGTTAATATTTCTGTAAAATTATTATTGGTTGCTTGACTTTTAGTTCTATTTACATCATCCGAATTATATAAGAGTCATATGACATAGATTTTTCTCAAAATGACCAAGTGCAGATAGAGGTTACTATTTTTAGACTAGAGAAGGAAAATTAATTTATGCTGCTAATTTGATCTTTACATATTCTTTATTTTTCTTACATATTTATATAAAAATGAATTAATATTTTGTTTAAAGTACAAATACTTCGTTCTATGCAAGTTTCAATTTGAAGCAGAGAAAATAAATGCGAAATACAAACAGTACAGTAAAAAATCCGAAATCCATACGTACAATATCCGGAATGATCTAAAATCTAGACCTCTAGTTTACCAGCAAGTTTTTTTTAGTATTTTTGTTAAAGCCATTTGATATTTTTTTTAGAATAAAACATGTAGAGAGTTCCGATCCTTGATTTCACTTTGGCACAGATGCCACCATTATCACATTTTAGATAAATTTGCAGTAAGAAATAAGGAGCAGACAGATTAGCAGTCCGGCCAAGCCCAAGCGTAGAAAGCAAGTGCATTATGTTTAGGGTGAAATCTTAATTCAGACTTAGTTTTAGTTCTCAAAGCATTTTGATTGGATAGTTAATATTTGTGTAAAATTATTATTGGTTGCTTGACTTTTAGTTCTATTTACATCATCCGAATTATATAAGAGTCATATGACATAGATTTTTCTCGAAATGACCAAGTGCAGATAGAGGTTACTATTTTTAGAATAGAGAAGGAAAATTAATTTATGCTGCTAATTGATCTTTACATATTCTTTATTTTTCTTACATATTTATATAAAAATGAATTAATATTTTGTTTAAAGTACAAATACTTCATTCTATGCAAGTTTCAATTTGAAGTAGAGAAAATAAATGCGAAATACAAACAGTACAGTACAAAATCCGAAATCCACACGTACAATATCCGGAATGATCTAAAATCTAGACCTCTAGACTACCAGCAAGTTTTTTTTTAGTATTTTTGTTAATGCCATTTGATATTTTTTTTAGAATAAAACATGTAGAGAGTTCCGATACTTGATTTCACTTCGGCACAGATGCCACCCTAGTGAATTATTAGTTCAAAAGAAATCCCAAATCTGGAACTGCCACAGTTGCAACGAGTCTGGATCTTAGACTTTGTACAATACATATTAAACAAAATCTTAATTTTGTTTTGAATCTGTCGAAAACAGATTAACAGAAAAGGAATAGAAATACGGTCAAAAGTCGTTAATTCGGACACCCATAATCCGGACCTCAAAGCTACAAACTTTCTGCGCATGCGTCGCTTTACGGCTGCGAATTTGCGTGTGCGCAAAATACGTTTACGAATGCGCATTTAATTTATAACGGACGGGATAAGCTAAGCTAAAATTATCTAATTATCTATTTCAGTTAATGTTGCAGATTGCGTTGTTCCTTAATCTTCGAATTGGATCCGCCTTATTATTTTTTGCAGACTGTTAGAGCAATTTTATAAAAGTAAGCTTGAACTTTCGATTATTTCAAATAGAATTTCCGATATATATTTACTAATATGTAAAGGATATACAAAGCGAAAGTATCTTGCGGAGTCCATTAAACAAAAAGTGGAATTGCTGCAAAAAATGGATAAAGGCATATCCTTTGTTTATCTAAACTTTAACATTTGTTTATCTAAACTTTGTTTATCTTTAACGCCAGGGAGCACAATGAATTGGAAGTTGATCTGTCAACACTATCCTTATCTTAAGGGCAGATGTTTTTATTTTATTTGGCTTATAATTGCTTACTAAATGTGGTATTTCCTCTCGATGTACTCCGTCTTTGTTATGATTTAAATCAAATGCCTCGTCATTATAATTCGCTTCCGATAGCGAAGAAAGTGACAGAGGTTATTGAAAACGAAAAAAATTTCGATTGACAAATTAGTTGGTATTCTCGACACAGCAATTATAGGACTTGAACAGCGGAACTTTGTAACTGAACAAGAAATTATGTCTGTTTATGGAATTAAAGAGAATGTATTATCACATAAAAAACGAAGCAACTTAAACAACTTACATTGAAAGAAATGTTTAATAAAGTAAACAAATAAATATTAAGCTTTTTTTTTTTTTGTTAAATTTTGATACCCTTTAGATCATAATTGTTCTTTATTTCATAAATTACGGTTTCATATTTTTTATTTTATAATTTCTGCATGCCATTTTACCAGATTTAAACTGATGATCTATAATCCGGAATCGCCGAAGTCCCGACGAGTTCGGATTAACGACTTTTGACTGTACATAATCTATAGTTTCTGTATTTTGCACTAACATAATGCGCTGAAAGTATTCTATCTTAGTTTAAATTATGAGAATGTTATTATGTATTTTATATGTTAATTCAAGCAATTGGTAGAAACTAGGTTATAATTGTTCATATTTTTTTCTAAAGAATTTTAAAACATAACATCTTAACCACATGTAATAAAGTACTTAAAATAAAAAGAAAAAATACCATTTTAATATCTCCAATACCCAGCTGTGACCGTCCTAAAGTCTGATATCCAATCCACCATCGTGGATTAATTTTAACAGCTTTTTCTGCAGCCTGAAGAGCAGGAAATGGACAATTAAGCTGTAACAAAGCCTAAAAAATAAGAATAAAGATTCATCTTTAGAGTTAAAAAATAAAATGTGGTATATTTAGAACACAAACTTTTATTTACAAAATTTGCTCGAATTTTTACTTGCAAAAATGTAAGAAAAGAATGAATAAGACACAAAAATTTTTCATCTTTATTATATAGCAAGAATTACACTTAATTATATTAAATATATATATATATATATATATATATATATATATTGTTGTTTTATTATAAATTACATGCTGTTTATTGAAATTAGTTGAAGAAAGTAAGATTTTGTTCTTAAAGTGACTATATACTGATATAAGCACTGAAACTATTAAAATAAATGTTTTTCACATATGTAATAAATTAAAAGAACTATGGAGGTGAAAGTAAAATGTCAAATTAAGCCAAATCCCTTTTACATGTAATTAATGACTGTTAATGAAATAACAAATTAAATAAAATTTTTGGGGAAAATTACAGCTTTTTATACTGAAAAAAATGGATAATTGATTTTCAGTTTTACTGACATGATCTTCTGATTTATACTGCCTTTCTTTTTGAAAATTTTTTACAGTGGGATACATACACATAGGCAAGATTAGACAATGTCTCCCACTACTTTTTGATTTTTGAACATTCAAAAAGTAATTATAAATAATTTGTTGTCAAATCCACCTTTGGTATTTTACTTATATTTATACAGATTTAATTAAAAAATTTTGAATAAATTATGCTATTAATTATTACAGAGTTTTATATCTCTTTTTTGAACAATATAAAAATTAGAAATAAAAATGAATATCACAATGGTCTATCGTATTTGTTTTTAATTCCAGTGCTGAGTAATGGAATTTTGCTTACACATATTGACCTGTCTGCAGCACTGTCATCAAATACACATATACAATCTAACCAAAACTAAACTGTTTTGTTTGTGATAATTATTAGTCCAAAGGGTCTTTGCCTCTGAATGATTATTGTTTTCATTTTGCGATTTTATGTTGAATCACTTTTCAAACTGTTGCCACCAAATGTTAGAGTCCTGCATTATATTTGAAGAAATTAAATAATGAAAAATCTGCATAAATGTATGTATATTTCTCGCATTGTGATAAAACAACGGTACATAGAGCCATCGAATTTTAAATGACATAATTCTCTTACGAATATGGGCATGAGGAAGACCAAATTTGAAATTTGTTTTACTATTGATTTCATATTTTGTAAAACTTAAATGAATTTTTGAGTAACAAACTCAACAATACAAAAGCAAGCAATAGCAACACTCTACGAGGGTAAAAAGAACCTTTTTTATTTCGAACACGCAGAACTGTGTATCCAGAAACTCTAAAGATAGGCTAATTTCAAAATTATTTTGCGACATTGATATTGAACTGAATTTTATGGTTTAAGTGCAAAGAACATGATATTTAATAAATAAAGGTTAACACACGAAACGTTAAAAACATGCCCCTTTGGATATAATTTGAAATATGAAACCTTTCAGACTTTTTTTATCTGTTTTTACTGGTTTTTTTTAAAAAATATTTCAGTGTAAGAAGATATTAAAGCATAGCAAAAGAAATTGCTATCACAAATCAAATAGTCTAGTTTTGGTTAGATTGTGCATGTGCATTTCATAAAAGGGGCAATTAAAACAACGAAATGTTCCCCTATAATAGACTGTATGCTATATTTAGTTCTGAAAAGTCTTAACACTAGAACCGCGGAACTGGTCAATTTGATCCAAATTGATGTTTAATTTGTCACCACGTGAAAAGTATTAATTGAAAAAAAAATCCCTTTTATGACTTTTAATAGTTTAAGGTAAACAGTAACTTACCAAATTCGAAAATACGTAACATAAATAAATTTTTGATTATTAACACTTATACCTAAAACCGCGAAGTGGGTCAATTTGACCCATAAGAAATGTTGATGCCTAAATGATGAAAAACAGATGCATTTCCTTGGAAGTAAGTGTAAAATATATCTGCCTCACCCTCGATGATAAAGGAAGGATCACATATGATAAAGGAAGAAAATACTTTGAAGGAAGTTGGGTGCCCATCACCACATGCTAAACACAGTGTTATAGACAACAGTTTGTCAAGTGCCTGGAAACTTTTCATACATAAATGGCTATTGAAGCATATAAAGAAATGAATTAAAGATGAAGCTCATCGACAGATTCACGAAAATAAATGGAATATAACAATATAAGAAATGAATGCTTTTATAGCAATTTTATATGCAAGTGCTATATATTGTGCAAAAGGACTTGAACTGTATAGCTTGTGGTCAATGAATTGGGGGGATCACTGTTTTTCCGAAATACAATGTCAAGAGACAAATTTTATTAAATGAGATTCTTACATTTCGATATAACGAGATTAGATCGTCTAGAGACAGACAAATGTTCCCTTATCTCCTATATTTAGAATCGTTTTATTGAAAACTGCCAGACTAACTATACACCAGGTCCTAATGTAACTGTAGATGAACAGTTATTTCCTACAAAAGCTATGTGTAGGTTTATTCAATACATGCCAAATAAACCAGATAAATGTGGAATCCAGTTCTGGTAATGCAGATGTTGATGCAAAATATCTAATAAATGGATTCCTGTATTTTGTAAAATATAACTAAAGTCTGTCCAACATTTCTCTTTCTGAGCATGTAGTACTGAAACTATTAAGTACATTTGAAAACAAAGGTAGAAATGTCACTACAGATAACTTTTTTTCACAACATTGAAGCTTGCAGGACCACTGATATTCAAAAACACCACCCTTGTAGGAACTGTAAAATGCTCAAGAAGAGAAATACCAGTGTCTGTAAAAATTTCAAAATCCACGCAACTAATTTTGGTATGGACGTGATTGACCAAATGCCAAGGAAGTATATAGTCAAGTCTGCTTCATGTAGGTGACCAGTGTAGGTTTTTTATAATATTTTGGACCTTGCTACTATCAAAGCTTGGGTTTCATACAAAGCCTTATCTGGAAAATCTATTAGTATACGGCAATTCATTCAAGACTTAGTTGAAGAATTGAGATAAAAGTTTGTTCTCTCCCAGTAAAAAAATGTGACAAATGGGTGTATAGCAACCACTGAAAATGATGGACAACAACAATTTATTAAGTTAAGTGTAACGAGTCCGATGCCACAGTTCAAAATCTGAAAATAAAACCCAAGCTATTTGTTCAAAATGCAAAGTACCCATTTGTGGTAAACATACAAAATCTATTAGTGAATTTTGTTCACAATGCACACAATAAATTTGATTTTTAAAAATCTGTAAAACTAGTAAGTAACTGGTAAAATTTTTATTCTTTCTCTACAATTACGTCTAAACTTATTTAAATGATATACAATGTTTTCTATCAAAATTAGAAAAATTATATTTTATTTTGTTTTAAAACATGAGTATGTTATTTATTATACTTAAAAAAAATTTTTTTTTTTAAATAATACGATTTTCTAAAAAATTTAGGTAATTTCCATTAATTTATATAAAATATTTAATGTAAATTCGGAGAAATATTGATTGTTACATAAAAATAAAAATATTTTAGTTAACTAAAGTAATCACTTGTGCAAAATTTTAGGTGCTTCTATTTAGGGTCAAATTTATTAACTGTTGTATGGGAAAAAAGATTAAAGGTAAGAAATATTACAATAATTATATCAACTGATAAAATACTACATATATTATTAGTTCAAATAGATTAGACAACAGAGTGGGGTCCAAAAAAAAAGGGGGGGAGAAGAAAGAAAGGCCTTGCTTCTGTGTTACAGCAGTATCAGCAAGAAATAGGAACTGGCATGTTTCAGTCTTGGTGAGAAACACAGGGTTATATATGCACACAAGGAATTGATTGTGTGTTCCTTGTTTCAACAATAAATGATCCATTTCTTTTTATAACTGCTGATACTGCAAGACCAGATGGTTTCTTTTCAAACTTAGAATTGCATATCATGGACAACACAATATTCACAAATTATTCTGGACAGCTAAGTATGCTTTTCTTGGAAAAAAAGAAAACTACAACACTATTTTCCATCAATGGATCATAGAAAATAATAACCATGGTAAATACTTATCAATGAGATATTAAGAAAATTTTCCAACCTGAAAATACGTACACTACATACACATATACAAACAGGAAAAGCATTTGCTTCTTGCCTAGGTGAAAATGCACTTATTCCTGTTTCTTGTCAAGGCTGCTGTAAGTACCCAATTACCTTCAAGAAGTTTGCATTATTAAAATAGTTGTGGAACTTAAGTCATCAGCAAGCTAATTCTTCAGAAGTCAGATAAATATCAGTTATCTTGACACCAGCTGAAGTTTCTGGTTACAATAACATTCGAATACACATTAATTTAATATTACCTGAGCTTTCATTTCCAAAATTGTGTTATCTGCAGGTACAAGAGTCAAAGCTTTGTCAAATTCAGTCACAGCTTCTTGAAACCTAATTAGAATTCAATATATATACGCATAAATATATGCAACAAAAATGAAGTTCAAAAGTAAAAAAAAAAAAAAAAAAAAAAAAAAAAAAAAAACATTTTTGTGCAACAAATGCTGGCACAAATAATGTGATAAAGAAGGAAAATTGCATTCTTTTAAAAATCTTTCATGATTGGCAAGTCTAGAAGGCAAGGCACAAAAGCGGGGAAGGTGAATAAAAACAGAGAATGCAACTAAAACTAAAAAATCACATAAAACTGAAGTTGTTCATGAAGGAACAGACTAAAATTTCACATGATAAACAGATTTTTCAAAATTTATTTCTGGAAGAATTTTTAAAAATTTAAACAATAATTTTTAAGGTTAATTAAAAAAATTAATTCCAGAAATAAATTTGCTTCAGATCTGTTTGAACATTGGAAGCCCCTTTGGCAGTTTTTGAACAACCGGCTCTTGGCGATTCGTTGGCATATGCATCATATTATTATGGTATATTGGAAGAGAGTGCATATGCATATTATGGTAATCCTGACAGGTGTTTACAACCCACAGAGGGACTTTTCTTGAGAGACGAAAAGAGATATTTTCTGTTTACATAGATTTACGGAATATTACGCTAAGAGAAAATAAAAGTTCGGAAATCGCAAATAATAATTAGTTCATATTTTCGTAAATCATTATCGGGAGTTAATCACAATCATTATTGGGAGTTAATTGTTATCGGGAACCCCTCCCTTCACCATTGCTAGAAGATCACTCTTTTATTTTCTTTTTTCAAAACTCAATATATAATACAGTACAAAGTCCATAATCCGAATGTCCATTATCTGGAATGATCTATTATCGGACCTCAATGCCACAAACTTACGCATGCGTGTAAAGCATTTACGTTTAATGCGCGCATCCGCTACACATGCTCATAAAGCGTTTACCCATGGAGGCTTCTGATAGAAAGTGACAGAGAGGTTATTGAAAATGAAAAAATTTTGATTGACAAGTTAGTCGGTATTCTTGACACAGCAATTACAAGACTTGAACAGTGAAACTTTGTAACTGAACAAGAAACTATGTCTCAATATATAATAAAGAGAAAGTATTAGCACAAAAACGAAGCAAATTAAACAACTTACATTGAAAGAAATGTTTAATTAGGTAAAAAAATAAATATTAAGCTTTTTTTTGTAAATTTTGATACCCTTTAGATCATAATTGCTCTTTATTTCATAAATTTCATTTTATATGGTTTCATTTTTTTAATTGTCTAATTTCTGCATGCCATCTTACCAGATTTAAATTGACCTATAATCCGGAAAAACCCCCTAATCCGGAATCGGCAAAGTCCTGACAAGTCCAGATTACGGAATTTGCACTGTATATATATTTAGATTATTTTTTGTAAAAATATATTTATGGGGATAATTGGTGATTTTTGGCGGTACATGGACACAGAGTTTGTGCAATTCTTTGACTTGTTATTTTGGCTTTATTCAGGGCAGATTTTTGGCTCTACACAAATCCAAAGTAACAAGTCTAAGAACTGCATAAACTCGGTATCCATGTACACATCGAGCTATTTTCACTTGGAAAAAAATCAGAGAATTGCACAAACTAGGCATTGTGTACACCCTTGACTTTGTCCATGCACACATCGATCTATATTCACTTAAAAAATCAAAGGACCAAGCAACAAAAAATATATTATCTCAATAAACTACATTTTAAATCAAACAATGAAATAACTTAAAAAAGGAAATTCATCTTAGAAACTACACAAAGGAAATATTCACTTACCTTATTTATGAATTTATGTGTCTTCAGTCAAACAAAATTCCTTAACAGCATCCAAAAACTTCCTAAAATTATCTGAAGAAGAATCTGTATACTGGCGTCACCACATAAATTCACAAAGTATCCTGTGTAGTGCCGGTATCATTTGACGTTCGGCCATAAGGGGGCATTTTCTTCCTACAAACAGGATGCTTAATAATGGCTACTAAGTAAACCTTCATTTACACACCAGTCAGTTAATGCTTTTTTCCCTTTCCTTCCAGATTGTACAAAAACTTCAAATTAATCTTACCACATTCAGCCATTTTACCATGTAAACCGAAAAATAATAATGTACATTTTATCCAAAATCCGACACACACTTTCCAAATCTTTTCCCATGATGCAAATTGACCGCAATTACATCAAAATAGGGTTTCCATAACATTCAACTACTCAGGTTACCATAAACGAAACAACAACTTGGCGATAAATGAAACAACAACTTGGAAATAAATGAAACTACAACTTAGCGATAATTCAAGGGGACTCTTAAATCTACTCTAACCTTATCTAAACTCGAATCTGTATATCGACATCGCCACATCTGAACCTTTCTTTTTACAAACCCATTCAAATCCATCTAAATGGTTTTTACGTTCAATTAGACACATATCCTTCTTACATACAGGACACTTATAATGGCTACTAAGTAAACCTTCATTTTACACACCAGTCAATTAATGCTCTTTTCCCCTTTCGTTTTAAATCGTACAGAAACTTCAAATTAATCTTACTACATTCAGCCATTCTACCGTCTAAACAATAAAACCAACACACACTACAAAAGCACTTACAAAACATCCTACAAGTCAAAATTTCCCAGAATCATGCACCCGATTACATCGCAATAGGGTTTCCATAACATTCAACTACTCAGGCTACCATAAATGAAAGAACTTAGCAATAAATAAAACATCAACTTCGCCATAATATATGGGGTACCTTAAAGTCTTCTCTAATCATTTAATTTTTGTTAAAAGATTTGTTGTTTAATGTTTTTATTTTAGGAAATATGTATTTTTGGTTAGTTATTCCTCACTGTTTGTACATTTTCTGTTATTTGTTTGTCTCTGTGTGTTAAGATAGGGTTGAATTTTTTCTTGTTAACATGATAGTTTTAACTTTTTTTTAAGCTAGTGCACAATGCCTAGTTTGTGCTATTCTCTGATGTTTTTTTAAGTTAAAATAGGTCAATGTGTATACGGACACTGAGTTTGTGTAATTCTTTGACATCTTGTTTTGGTTTTGTGCAGCGGGCGGAAGGATCGACACCATCTTGCTGTCGGTACCAATCTTGGCGTCAAAAAGGAACGATTCGCCAAGGGGTACCGTAGAGTAAATTTTATTCCAAAATCAACAAAAAACATTTAAAAAATACCTGTGAATTAGGTCAATATTATAATTTGGAGAGCAAAAGCATTTTGCAACACAAAGCAGATGCTATTATTTTAAATAAAATATGAAATTCACAAAAAGCATACAGCAACTGAAAATCTAGTACTCAAAAGAATTACAGAAACAAATTTAAAAAAAAAATAGGGGGGAATAAATAAAATACAAAGTCATTCTACTCCTTGATTAAAAAAAAAAAAAAAAAAATATTCCATGGAGTTAGAGTTGAAACAACGTACCTATGGATAACTTTTTACCACATAGAATCCACAGCCTCGCCAACTAAGTAATTGCACTATACTGATATTTTGTTTTAGCATTTTTTATAATTAACTTAACGTTTTGATCTATTTCAAATAAAGCTTAAATAAAGGCTTATGTTTTGTGTTTGATTGGTTTCAAATAAGGCTTAAACAAAGGTCTATGTTTTTGGTTAAAAATGAAATTTTTAGTTTTTTACGTGTATTGCCATTTTTTGGCCATTTTAACTGATTTTGTGAATCACTCTACATTTTGTAATTACATTTGACATTTCTTATTCTAACTGCCCTGGAACAGATTTATTTTTGAAATTAATTTATTTCTGTTCATATTTTCAAATTTGAGCTTTAAAATGTTCTCAATTACTTCTGAAATCTTAAAAATTTCAAACAGCTTTTTATCAAGTGAAATTATGATATCATTCTAGTCAAAGAGCTACAGTTTTGCCATCTTCCTGTTTTTTTACATTAATTACATACTCTTATTTTTAATGGGCTTTTGTTCTTTCATTTTATCCTTTATACAATACAAAGTCTTTAATCCGGACATCCATTATCCGAAATGCTCTATAATCTGGACCTCAAAGCCACAAACTTTTTTTTGTATGCTTTACGCATGCACGTTTAATGTTTAATGGACGGTATAAGCTAGGCTAAAATTATCTTTACTGATACTAAGGCATTTCAGTTAATGTTGCAGATTACGCTGTTCCTTAATCTTCTAATTGGATCTGGCTTATTATTTTTTGCAGGCTGTTGCAGCAATTTTATACAAATTAAGTTTGAACTTTCGATTATGTCGAAAAGAGTTTCCAATTCTGGAGCTGCCAAAGGATCTACAAAGCGAAGCATGTTTCGATGTCCATGAAACAAAAGTGGAATTGCTGCAAAAAATGGATAAAGGCATATCCGTCTCAAAATTATGCAAGGAGTATGACATTGGAAAGTCAACCATATATGACATAAGCAAAAAGAAAAAGGAACTTTTAAAATTTTTTGTGGATTCCGACACACCACTTACAACGACTAACAGAAAAAGGGTTTGTTACGCTAAAAGTGACGATCATGACAAAGTGATGATTGAATGGGTAAGACAGCGTCGCAGTGAGAGCTTGCCATTGACGGATCCAATGCTAATGGCTCAAGCCAAAATATTTCATGAAGAAATAAACTTAAACACTGAGTGCGCATACTCAACAGGTTGGCTAACCAAATTTAAAAATCGTCATGGTATAAGACAATTAAAAATTTCATGTGAAAAAGCTTCAGGTGATACTGAAGCTGCTGAACAATTTGCAGATGAATTCATTGAACTCATTACTAGTGAACCATTATCTCTAAAACAAATTTACAACGCTGATGAAACTAGTCTTTTCTGGCAATATGTACCACGAAATACCTTGGCAACCTCTACAGAAAAGGCTCCAACTGGTGTCAAAGATTCCAAAGCGAGACTAACAATTTTAGCCTGCACAAATGCTGCAGGAATGCACAAGTGCAAACTTTTTGTAATTGGAAA